CCCATTCCGGTCGTTTTTCTTTCAAAGTTTGATTCAAATATATCAATTGATTGAGTCGATAACGATCGCCAGTGACGATTTCGGACGATTTCAGCAGCTTGTAATATGCAATTCTGCATCTTCAAATTTTTTTGGTACATTTTTTGTTACGCATGTCGAAATTACTATTGTTGAATCACTGAAACCATTCTTTGCAAGTGGTATTCGATGGAGCATGCTCACCGTAAATATCTACGAGCAAACGATGCGTTTCCGTAGCTTTTCTTTAAAATAATGGAGTAAAACTTCCCGTAAATGTTTTTTTGGAATAAATTCCGACATTTTCAATGCAAAAAAGTTACTCTTGTTTACGCTTCAAACGAATGCCAACTACTGGGCTCAAGAGCTTGAACACATCTACCTTTCAAATATATGTATTGCCATTTTATCAAACACACAAGCTATTAACGACATCTCTCTACAATGGGCGGAAACTTATTCCCATACCAATATATATCTCGAATGAATATTTATAGTAAAATGAAATACAATCGGAACGATAGAAAATGGTTATCGAGGAAATCACTAACTATTCAACTTAATGTCTTATCCCTTTATTATTTGTCAATCGAAACAACGAAATAGAAATCGAATTTGAGAACCTTTTTTTTATATAATAAAAATTTAAAATACAGGATATATGTGTTCATGTGTTTCTCCCATTTATTTAGCTTCCTTCTTAGCTCCCTAGGCCATTATCTTTTTTGGAGTTAATAAATGGAAGTTGCCAATATTGTTTAGTATTTGTGAATTTGGTCGGAATTCTGAAAGCGCCTGTCTGTTTCACCGCCAGGCAGCTCTCTCAGTAGCCAATTCTTCCGCTCCGATTTATACAGAGCCTCACCTTTACCAACAATCAGTAGCTGAGTAAATAATAGTACGTTCGAGGTCAGTTATGCAGTCGCTATCGAGTCTACGTGAAGTACGGACACTTAGCAAATTTATTGGATCGTGAAGTGACATTCTGTACAATATTTTTCTGTGTTATTCTAGTAAAAATACATCCACATTTTTAACAAAATTATTCTTAAATTTATAAAATTTATTAACAGCATTATTTTAAAAATACATGGAATTTGTTCAAGTTAATTAACAAAATAACTTTGAATATAGTGAAAACAAAGAATTGAAATAAAAATGATACAATTATAACTTTATTTATACACTTGTGGTCTTACTAAATTTTGTTTTTTGATCTTTAATTAATAATCAGAATTTATTAAAAGTTTCTTTAAATAAAAGAAATTGTATTTTGTAAAATTTAAAAATATAAGAAGAAAGTTAAAAAATGCAATACTGTATAAAAAAAATATGAAAAACAAAAATTACAAAGTAATAATAATTATCTTAGCTAAGAATAAATATTACGCGAAGTGATAAAAGTGAAATTTAAACGAAATCATTTTGATTTAATTATCATTAATGTTGATTACGTTTTTGATTATGCTTCTTCTTTTATCAAGGAAATCAAATCAATAAATCACTTAAAATTTAAATCAAACTTGTTTGTGTGTACAGGATATTATCAATCCGTAACACTACGTGTTATAATAAACTGTAAATGTTGTATCGATTATAGTTATACCGATTAACTATTTTCAACGTATTTGATTCTATTTTTAATTTGATGTTTTTTTTATATTATAGAATTTAAAAGATCTATATTCCGATATAACACTATTTGTTATAATAAACTATAAATTGATTTAAAAATTCAAATTTAGACATATAATAATTGTGTATCCTTTTTTTTCAAATTTGATGTGATTTATTTAAATATATTATAATTAAATTACAACTTATAAATATATAATTTATTCGAAGTTTTTTCTTTTACGTTCACGCATCTTACTGATACTATTTTTAACGAGTCGGATCGATTACAATTACATTAACACACATGCAAGTAAGAAATCAATGCTATATACATCCTATATGTTATATGTTGAAATGTGCTACATCGATAAAAGAACGCGGTAAAAGATAAGTAAAAAGAATATATTAAAAAAACAGCGATAAAGAAAAATAGTAATTAATATAATTGCTTATTAAGTTAAAAGCAACGAAGTGAGAAAAATTGGAATGTTAGTGTTTCAATTTTCAAATTGATCCATATTAAACTACGGAGGTTCTATGTCTCTGTCGTAACGACGGGACAAATTATCTGCTGCTTAAAGATGATGATCATACATATTAATCTGTTTTACAACTAAAAGTTCTGTTTAACATCAATGCCACCACGTAATCAACAAGGTTAACTTTTTAATAAATTATGGCCTATAAAAATGCATAAAAAAACAAGTAAGTCTAAAAAATTAAACAGATATAGATAAAAAAAAAAGAGGTTACCTTGTATTTTGTTTTCCTGCCTTATTCTATTAAATGTTTTTCTTTCGTTGTTTTTCAAATCTTTATATACACATAATATTATTGTTACAATTAAAATTACAATTATTTTAAATTGTTGATTTTTTCTTTTATATTAATTATAATATTATAATATAATTATAGTTGTAAATATTAGGTGTTGGAATTAATTCGTAGCGTTTTTTAATGAAAGAATGTTATTTATTTCACATGAGCATTAAAAAATACATTAATGAAAGTACTTCCCATCACTTGTAAAACGCTACGAATTAATTCCAACACCTAATATATACACGTAATTGTAAGTATAATTGTGCTTATGCTATCACGTTAAAATTAAAGGGTTATATATGTGAATGCCTGAAAACAGGATAATTTTGAGAATTTTTGTAATTAAATAGTAAAATAAGTAGAAATTCAGTTTGAAGGACTTTAATGTGCATATTTTAAGCTATGCGTAGCAATTTAAAAAAATTTTTTTGCGTCAAGATGGCAGTGCTGGAATTTTACAAATAAAACTATTAGGTGTTGGAATTAATTCGTAGCGTTTTACAAGTGATGGGAAGTACTTTCATTAATGTATTTTTTAATGCTCATGTGAAATAAATAACATTCTTTCATTAAAAAACGCTACGAATTAATTCCAACACCTAATATGTTTTTTTTTTCAGAAAAAAAGTATTTCTTATACAAAAATATGATATGATATTTAGTCGATAATACAGATGGCTTTAGGATCCTCTTAAGGGGATGCTGGAGCAACGGCCAAACTTGATCGATAAAACACCCTGATGAAAATAAAAATCAGAGCATAAGTCGAACGTAATGGGAGAGTAAGAGAAGCGTAAACGAAACTTCTAGGAGGGGAAAATTGAACATCAAAATGTAAAAGAAGCGTAAATGCTTCTTTTACATTTCATTGTTCAATTTTTCGCCTTTTACGAGTTTCGTTTACGCTTCTGTTACTCTCCAATTACATCCGATTTATGCTCCGATTTTTATTTTCATCAGGGCAAATTTTTAATTCCAAATAAAATATTATGTACATCAAGAAAACGTTACATAATTAAAACACTAAGTACATTAGGCAAAATCATTAAGTAAAACGTTACGTACACTTCTTGCTCTGCTATATTACATGAACACAAAATTATGTACACTCATCGTACTTCTCTCAAGCATTTCATTTATAAGCTTCAAAATTATAATTTAAAGATCATGATATTCTCTCATGATATTCTTATAAATTATTCAAATATGGGAAAATACTTTTTGCTTAGATATATTTTTGCATTTATTTATATATATAGTATATTTAGAATTATACATAATTATATGAAACACATAATTATATGAAACATTTTTTCCCATAACGATAGATCGCTTTCAAACGTCTTTATTCTGTGTTTAAACATAAATGAAATATTTGAAATTATTTAGAAAATTTAGAAAAATACATATAATTCGAGTATAGAATCCATATAACGCTATCTAATCCTGATTGAGAGCAACTTCGTCGCGTTCTCTATCATACTTTTCCCGTGAATGGTTTTCTTTACGAGATAGCCCGATCATCAAATGATCAGATTTGTCGCTAATTACTCTAACTTTTTACAAACACAAGTTGAGTAACAGACACGAAAGAGCGAACCCCTCTTTCATTAAATTTCGCTTATTTTACAAGACTCATGCGCAACTCACGACGACAACAGGGATGATTCTCGCCCTCCAGCATATTTCTCGACTAGAGGCGGGGAATATGCCGGAGGGCGAGAGAGATAGACTACAAAAATGAGACACAGAATTTAACAAGAAAATGAATAATAATGATATATTTTTACGGCACAACTTTTTTTAATTATTCAATTAAATCAAAACGAAAAATTTCTTATTCATAATTCTGAATAAAATAGCATTCATAATGCATTTTTAAATGAAACAATGGATTTTCTACTCACAATTGTGAAGTAAATAGTATTCATGGCCCATTTTAAAAGAAAAACGTTTTTTTATGCAATTGGATTAAAAGATTGCATTTCCTATTCAAAATTTTGAATTTAACAGTATTCACGATATGCAGAAATGGCTGATATTATTTTCAAATTCAATTGGATTGAAAAACTGTATTTGCTATTCAGAATTTTAAATTAAGTAGTATTCACTATGCGCACAAAATATTATAATATTATTTTAGACTTTAGCCCGGTTGCACCAATGTTACTTTGACTTTAAGTGAGACTTAAAACTCTTTCTGTCTCATTTTAAAATCGAAAAAGAGACAGAGACAAAGAGAATTTTAAGCCTTGCTTAAAATTAAAATAACGTTGATGCAATCGGGCCTAAAAATATGCTCCATGCCATTCCTATAAATGAATAAAAATGCATTCAGGATTGAAAAGGTTTCATTTTAATATTCATGAATCCGTATTTCTGAAAATCTGAATCCATTATAAACTATTTCAATCCGTTCTCGTTTGTTGGCACGTTCTGCTTGCATTTTCCTAATAGGAAATGACGCATTTTTATAATAGGAGATGATGATGAAGATAATAATAATTCAAAAATATTGCGTACATATAATCATAAAAGTTTTTATCGGTCAGAATCAAACAACATATTTGTTATAATACATAATGTGAATAATAAATTATTTAAGTGACGTAAATGTTATCTAACTCCGCGTAATAAAAACTTACGTGATTATGCACGCAGAATGTACTTGACATTTAATTGCTCCATTGTCATTTCCTACTACAAGAAAATACGAGCAAAAAGTGTGTGAAAAATCGAGTAAAAAAGTACAAGCTGAAGGTGCTACATCAAACGAGTGCGGATGGTATATAGAGATGTTTGCAATTAATTTTTGTTAACAATATTTCCTATACATATAGAGTAAAAGCACTAAATGCGGATCTAAGGAAGGCACTAGTTCCGGATAATATATTATATTTAAATAATGTAATTATAATATTTTTCATTAAATGATGAATATCACAAGATTCTTTAGCATTTGTTTTATCTTTTCAAATGTTAATTGTTTTTTATTTATTAGCAACAGTGCTGCTGCATTTTACTGATGTCATTAATTAATAAAACGTGACAGAAAAACTAAAGTTATTTAAGGTATGTATCTTTGAAAATTCAAGGTGTAATACTTCATAAGGATTGCTTTATTGGTTCCAGGAGATAATAAATAGCATTAGATTTTATTTAAAAAAATCAATATCCTACTCAGTTAAAATTAAATCTAAAAAAAAAAATAAAGCAACTGCTCCACAATTAGTACATGGTGTCTAAATGTGAATTTAAATGTAAATAATTGTCATTATTTTATTTAATTAAAATTAAAATGATACTGAAATGAAATAAAAAATTTAAATATAGTAGAGAGTGCCTAGGATCAAAGTTAGATGTTTCGAAAAATATAATATTCTTGGATCATGAATTTAATTTATCTCAAATGTGACTGTGCGTCGAAATGTTCAGACATTTAAACACAATCAATCTGAGATACTAATAATCGCAAGCCGAAACATTCGGACATTCGCATGTATAGACAGGGTATCCCGTAAGTTTTGGCCAATCGCTTTTGTGTAGAGTGGACCAAACTGAGTCGAAAAATCCTCTATCATTTTGCAATTTTCGTAATAATTAACAAGATAATTAATTACTAAAAATCACTGAATATTGGTTTTCAATTTTTTATTCAAATACTATCAACTTTACGGAAAAACAGCGAGAGACAAAAATTGTTTATTTTCTTTTCATAAAGTTCTGAGAATTTTTTCAGAATTTTTTAATGTATTTTCTCATATTGGTAAAAATAAGAAAATGCAATACTAAAAAGTTGACAAAAAATTTTGAAAAATTCTTACAGTTCTATGAGAAGAAAATAAATAATTTTTGTTTCTTGCAGTTTTTCTATAAAATTGATAGTATTTGAATAAAAAATTATTCGAAACCAATATTTGGCAATTTTTAGTAATTAATATCTTGTTTATTATTGCAAACATTATAAAATGGTAGAGGACTTTTCGATTCAATTTAGTCCGCTTTACACAAAAGCAATTGTCCAAAATTTACAGAATATTCTGTATAATTCCTCCAATAAGAAACTTTTATTGTAAAAAATATTACCTTAGGATTCGAACCTAAGACCTCTCGATTTTTCAGGGCGAGTGTTTTATAAATAAAAAATCATTCATAATGTAATCTTCATGATCACTTATACCTATTAAATATTTTATTAATTGTTCGGTACCATTCTGAATAAAAATATGATTTTTTAAGAGTAATCCACAATTAGTGGTTTTACCCTACAGGATAAGGAAAAAATACCAGGATCTCGAAATATTCCGAAAAATATAAATTTTATAGAAAGCTGTTTTAGACAAAAGTTGTTTAAAAAAATCTATCTATATCGGTCTTATCAGTTTAATTTTGAGTGGCGTCGTCAATTAATTTTTTAAAATGGAAATTCCTATTTTTCATTGCATATTTTTGTAGCTTACACTCTAAATCTGTAGCAATGAACATTATGCATACACACCGCTATTGGTGGAGGAGTGAGATGGCCTATAATCCTTTCTCGCTTGAAGAAATTTGACAAAATCCTTATGGCCAGTCTCTCATTAAAAAATTTCAACTCCTTAGAACAAGCTTATGTGAAATAAACCCCGAAATTGTATGGTAATTCTGCGCATGCATTATGAATGTACCCAAAGGAATGCAGTATGGCAGAATCTTTCGTCAACTGTTCATATGCTAAACGTATAATCTTATGAAAGTAGTGATGATCTCATAGCGAAAAAGATTTCTTTTGGAAGAGACAGTTTTTAATGTGATTTAGAATATTCAAATACTTTTTCATAATTCTGTTGTCATATTAAAAATATATTTTGGAATATTAAATGTTCTTAATTAATTTTTAACTGGTTCATAGCCCTTCTATTTATTTATATTGATTCATCCTAAGAATACATATATTTTTTGACGGAGCCTTCACGAGTTATCGATTACCAAGCGTTTTTTCAAAATTAAAAATGATATTACGTCATACAGACAAAATCAGTTCATGATCTATTTTATATTTCAAGATCGCTTTAATAATCCACTAAAAATAATCCACTTTAAGATGCTAAACAATTTTACAGTTGAATTATAACATCTTAAAACTATTCTTAAGATGGTCTTAAAAATAAGAACAAATTATAAATATCGGTCTTACAAGAAGAGATTATAAAGTGTCCGCATCGATTTCAATTTAATTTGGCGAACATATTGAATGTTTCTTCTTGATATAATATATAATTCCACTTTGGTCACAGATAACAAATCATTTTTAAGATATTAAATACTTTTTTTAATTTATGCTTTTATTTTTCGAAAATTATTTTTCTATATTTAAATAAAGTAAATAAGGTATTTTAAATTGTTTTATCATTAATTATCACATGTATCTTACGCAAATTCTAATTTTTAAAATTTTGAAAACGTAAGAAAAATACGATTAAATAAAATATAATTAAATTAAAAACATAAGAAGAATGTGATTCAATACAGATTCATTTTTTATATATTGTCTTCATTAATAATAAAAATAACTATCATTGAGACAAAATAATATTTTGAAAAATATTTGCCTATTATAAATCAATAAGCATTAATGATCTTTTCATACTATATTGAACTTTTCATTTTATATTGAATTGAACAGCACTTTAATTTAATAACACTTTTAAAAGTTAATTGTTCCAGTAAATCACAGTTTTTTAAGTCATTTGAAAAAATTGTTATAGTTTGGCCGCTAATCAAACATTCATCACCATTTCGTAAAATGGTGCAACGAGAGGCAGTGGTCGTAAGGAACGCCGTAAAGCGTTCAAGAGGTTCCATGTAAGTAACCATTATTTATCATGTTAATACAAAAGATTAATCGTCTTCATATTTATTTCCGCTTCAAATTGTTAACAAATAATTTTCCGAAAAGAATAATTAAAAAGATGCTCTATAGGAAAAAAAAGAAAATGCCATAAAATTAATTAAGTTTCGCGGTTATCTGCGCGATTTTTACATTATTCGAGAAACAAGATAAATTGCTATTTTCCATGTACATTTACCGATTTCTTAAATTACTACCGTTTGCGCAAAATATACGATAGGATAATCGTATAACTTCTTAATGATTATTCAAATAAGAAAATTTAAATAAAAAATTTCATTTGAACGTATTATCCAAAATAAGATAAAGCATGCAAATAAAATCTTTCTTTTAAACAGATACGGATTGTTGGGATCTAGCGGATGTGGCAAGACCACACTATTGTCCTGCATTGTTGGGGTTCGATATCTTGATAGCGGAGAAATATGGGTCTTGGGAGGGAATCCAGGCACCAAGGGTTCTGGCATCCCTGGATCTCGAGTAGGTTACATGCCGCAAGAGGTTTCCTTGGTTGGAGAATTTTCCGTGAGCGATGCCTTCTATTACTTTGGTAGAATTAACGGGCTCGACGATGAGGAGATCGGTAGGATAAAAAAAATATTAGCATTCGTTGCATGTGAAATGTCATACATTTTCTAAGAAGTTTCAGTTTTATAAAATATTTTTGAGTAAACATCTTGTAAACTGTATCAATTTTTGTTTTAAATTATTCATATGCGAAATATTTCATAGCATAAGTTAATTCAAACGACTATAGCTTTCCCGTATTATTTCTCAGAGATGAGACAGAAATTCTTCTCAAAGTTGCTTCAACTACCCCCAGCAGATCGCCTAGTGAAGAACATGAGTGGAGGTCAGCAAAGAAGGGTTTCTCTTGCCGTCACATTAATCCACAAACCCGAACTTCTAATTCTCGACGAACCCACTGTGGGGTTGGATCCAATTTTGAGGGAGAAGCAAGTAGACTTTGCTCATTTTAGACACAATATAAAGAATAATAATAAGAAAATGTTTGGATGTACTTTTTCTTCGTAGAATTTGGGCCTACATGATCCAGATCACGCAGGAGGAAAATATCACAGTGTTGATCACGACACACTATATTGAAGAAACTAAAGATGCTAATAAAGTGCGTCTTGTTTCTATTAAAATAGTTGTAATAGTATTTTATATAAAAAAATTTACCAGGAAATACTTTTTAAGCTCTTACACCCGTATTCATAGTCCTTCTTTATTTTAAGGATGAAGGAAGCTTTCAAGGATTTCTCGATTCTTCAAGATCTCCTTGTTTCATAAATGAATTTCAAGTCTGCCTTCCCGAAAGAAGGAATATTTTAGGGATTTTAGCAACCTACTGAAGGCAACATGTCATAATACGAGGGTTATCTAAAAATTAAAGATCTTTATTGTTTTTCGATGACACGGAAATTGTTTCTCAAAAGTTGACAGCAGTGGCATGTAGCGGGGACCTTCCTCTCCACAACGAGTGGTATTCATGATGGAAGGGATAACATGGTGTGCTTAATTTGCAAGCATCTGTCTCTAAATCTCCGCCATCTCTGTATATAAATGTCGCGTCAGGGGAAAAGACTGCCAACTGTGAAACGCTAAACATGGGGCGATATTCATAGTCCGTTTTTATTTTAAAACAGTCTTAAATAGTCTCTTAAGATTCTAATACAGTCTTCGAATTGACTTATGATATCTTAAAATCGTACTTAAGACAGTCTTAAATGCAAGATTCGATCTCTACAAAAAGAGAACACTTTATATTTCTCTTTTTATAGAAAGAGAAATGTATGTTAAACAAGGAAAGATTCTTAACATTATTTAAGACTGTTTTAAAATAAAAACAAACTATGAATATCGCTCCATGTGTAGCGTTTCACAGTTGGCAGCCTTTTCCCTTGACGCGACATTTGTAGACAGAAACGGCGAATTTAGAAAGAAATACTTGCAAAGTGAGCACATCATGTTATTCGTTCCACCATGGGGATTCCTGCTATATGCCACTGCTGCTAACTTTTGAGAAACAATTTCCGTGTCTCCGAAAAACAATAAAGATCTTTAATTTTTGGACAACCCTCGTATATAGTATATATAAACATAATATCGTAAATAATAAAGATTATAAAAGCATTGTTGATTAAATCAAGTCGTGATTATGCAACAATAATGAACAAAAAACTAATAGTGAATTGATTGGACTCACTCAATGCGCAATAATGAAAAACATGTCATACATATACAAAATAATTAATAATAAATATATGTTTATAAATAAACATAAAAATCAATTAAATTGTAAAATACTCAATATTTTATTGTACTGTTAGGTAAAATATGTATTTCATAATTCGAAATATTTGCATTTTATTTTTATACTCAAATTAAATTTGTGTACAACGGTTTTAATATGCATCAATGCTTTCAATCGCTATAATGCTTATTATACGAAGAAAGAGAAAATGCTTTTGGCGCAGTTTATTTCCGAAAGAAAAGCTATTGAAAATAATTATTGATACGACGGATCTAAATTAAAGGCTATCGAAAATAAAAAGACCGGTGGGACGAACTAAATTTGGAAGTTTGTTTCCCAAGTAACACAACTAAGTCACGATAATGTCAAAATGACGTCAAAATGATGTTATCGTAACTTGTTGTGTTACTTGGGTTGGTTATGAAGGCTGCACTTCCTCCTCAAGGAAATTCGTAATCTCCCTTGAGAATAGAAAGCTAATAAGGCTCCTTGTTTGGTCAAGAAAGATTTACAAAACGAGGAACAAAGTATCCTCATTTCTTAAGAAAGAACTATGAATACGGTATTACAAAATTATTACATGTAAAAAAATGTGTTTTGGTCGATGACACAAAAAATGGCAGTTTAGGGCCAAAATTTTGCTTGATGAAAACGTATGAAATCGGTCAATCTTTGAAACTGTGCTGAACTCAAATATGAAGTTTAAAATTCTCCAGGGAACTTTGGAGAATTTTAAGCTTTACTTTATAGCAAAATATTGTATTTCCCGAGGAACAAATAATATAACTGAACAAGAAATTTCTTTCTATTATAAATGATCTCAAAAACTGTAACTTTTTTGCAATGTAAAAGTTAATGTTACACGGCGTACAATAACATGAACAAAGATAAATGTCCGTATCAACGTGCGTAGGCATTCGTGCGTTTCTGCTTTTTCACTATCAGCATTAGCTTTACCCAAGGTACACCGTGTGGTGGTTACTGAATTGAATATCTCTTAATATGTCTTGTAGAATCTATCCATCTCGTTAAGGCTTCTGAGTAGTCATTATAGCCATATTAAATCGTGACCTTAGAAACGAGAAATAACACATTAATTTTTATTATAAATAATTATTTATAAATAAAGACAATTTGGATAAAACAAAATGATGAGATTGCTTTAAAACATTTGTAAAAATGGATGAAAACTAAGCTTATCCTCCCTGACAGTCAGTAAATAATCGTAAAAAAAAGCACGTGTAAAAATAAGCTACAGATGCGCGTTGAATAAAAGCACTTCATTTGCTAATAAAAATTAATGTGTCACTTTTCGATTCTGACATCATGACTGTGTGGTGACTACTCAGGAGCCTTGCCATATGTTTGTCAGTATATTTATCATGTGTCAGTTTGAATTTTTATAAATCTTCCTCTTCTGATTCGTCTGAGTCTTTTATACATTGAAAAACATTATCTTTATGAATCCTTGGTTTATACTGATACTATTTTTGAATCTCGCATAACTAAAAAATCAAATTGAAAACGAAAAAATTAGTATTTTCATAAAGTTCTCCTTTAAGACTGGAGAATTTTAAGCTTCATATTCAAGTTTAGCAAGTCTAAATCTATAAAAATTGATTGATGTCATACTTTTCATCACAGGTAAATTTTGATCCTAAACTGCCACCGTTTTTTGATCATTTAATATTGTGCATTTTCATTGTTATACAGATTGGTTTGATTAGATGTGGTAAATTGTTAGCGGAATCAGCACCACAGGAATTGCTGGAGCAATTTCAATGCTCGTCTTTGGAAGAAACTTTTCTAAAATTATGTAATATCCAAAATAACACAGTCACTTTGAATGAAGCTCAAGAAGGGGAAAATACCAGCAGTGATGTCTTGTATAAAGATCAAAATCAATGTGAATTAACAAAAGTATATATGTAGAAATAATCTATGCCCTAATCATTATTATAAAAAGCTATATAATTGGTATTATTTTATAACATAAATAAATTGAATTTTGAAGACAATGCCAGAGTACGAAGCGGTTTCGGAACATCAAGTTTCGCGATTGAGAAGGTTCAAAGCTCTATTAGCGAAGAATGGCATCCAATTTTTGCGTCATTATATGTAAGTATATATATATATATAGAGGACATAAACATATGTAGGGCATAGAATATAGGTGACATAGAATACAAAATATGTTTATCCAGAAAATAAAGAGTTTTAATTGTTTTAATTTCAAATTTTCTGTATTATATTATTTTTATACATCATTGAACCGTTGCATATAAAACATTATATCTCAAAAAATTTGAATTTATCAGTCGTAGTATATTTCACAATAATAATAAATAATAAATGACATATTTTTTCAGAGGACTAGTTTTTGCAGTAGTATTTCCAATACTTCAGACCGGCATATTTGTTATGGCAATTGGTAATAATCCGAAAAATTTGAAGATTGGCGTCGTCAACGATGAAGTCAATAACTGTAGTTCGGATAGCAACTTTGGCAATGTTTGGAGTGACGAAATTACTTGTCATTTTAACAACCTCAGTTGTAGATTTTTACGTAATTTTGACAACTCAATTGCGATGCAGGTACAACGATTTCAAGATTATTATAATGTATAATCGGCATAAATATGATTAAAATAATTTTACGTTTTTTTAAAGAGATCCTAAAG